GTTCCTCTAAAATAAAATTTGATTAATGAGCCTTACAAACAAAGACAATGTTGTTACCTGCTTTGTCAGCAGGGATCAGTACATACTGATCGTGTAATCTATTAAATTATTTTTTTCACTTCTGAATTATTGAACACAGAAGGATAGTTGGTTTTCATTTTGCCCCTCAATCGCTTATTGTGAGATTTTAACATACATCCGATACATTTAATCCGTTCTGACAACTTGTCAAGGTCTTCTTTTTCATGTCTGGCCCATCGCCTGGCATAATCTTTCACAGAATCCATAATATTTATGAAATTTTGACTTCTCCTCGTCACAACCAAAGACAGTAAGATTTTATAATAATTCATAGAATTAGAAATGACACAAGCAATAGCATTCTATATGATTTACATTCTAAGTAGGTTTTTCTACTTGAGAGCTAATTCATTCTTATGCAAGGCATTAACAAAAGTTAAACCAAACGCCAACATAAATCTGAAACAAGGACATGGATTTCTTTCTTCAGCATATATAATGGATGTTTAAAAATAATGTACACTTTAACAGCAAATAGCAATTTGAACGAACAATTAAATAAATCCGGAGTAATGAATAAAGTGAGTAAAATATATATAACCTTTCATAAATGAGCTAAAATCTCTGTTCTTTGATAAAAGAATGTACATATGTGTATCAATATGTTTAACAATAATGATATAGCATAATGCATGAAGAGTTATTTTCTTAGGGACTAGAATAAACGTAGGGTATGCAGATTTTAAGGGTGAGGCCACTTTTTCTACAGACAAAAGGGTCATTTTTCGCACCCGGCAATTATTCTACGGGGATCATTATTCGTCTTGAAAACGGATATTTGCTGTGGTCAAAATTGCAGCACTGTTAAATACTTTCTTACACATTTTTGCTACATGTTACTCTTTTGCTACAAGACTTTCTTGCTTCTCTTTATTTAATTCTGTATCATGAATTCTTATAAAAGTAACCAAACTTTTTTATATAAAGTTAATTGTAGTAACATGTTAACTAATTTAACTAATCTATTTTTTTTAAATACAAATATATTTTTACCATAAATACGGACGATATCCCATAACTTCATTAAAATCTTTAAAAAACAAAGAAACATTATGTAAAGTCCTACGTGTACCAAGCCCCTAGCTATCTTTACTCCTAGCAAAAATATTTGAACTGTTGTGAAGGAGAAACTTAAGACGTTCTATGTTACACATTTTCAATAAGTACTGTAATGTAAATGTGGATTTAGAAAAAAAAATTCTTGTGGAATCATAATTTTTTAAAAAATCATAATATCAAGACGTGTGACTTTTCAACACTTTATACAACCATTTTTTCTCACGATAAGTTAATAAGACTTGGCTCTTCGATATTACAGACAACTGCTTCTTCGATAAAAATGGAACTCGGAAATGTTCAGATCTTGCGATTGGCCATCTACAAAATTACTTTGTTAAAAATCATTCTGATGCTACACACAAGTACTCTGAAGTTCGCACCCCCCTTTCGTGAGGTTTTCAGAGTTATAAAGTTATTACATTTCTATGTAAAGTAATAAAATGATTTTAGGTCCCCATCCCCGAAAAACGCGAACTCTTCTAAGATTGCAAGGAAAGTCGTATATATGAAGGAAATTGGCATAGCAAAGTGACTCACCCCCTTTCCGAAATTGGTTTTTTAGGCTTAGACAAGTTGTTCACGTTTTTCCCCCGATATTCTTTGAGTTGGTGTTGACCCCCCACCCCTGGAAAAAAAATCCTGGATTCACGCACGACAAAGGGGACGACTTAAATTTGTCTATTTCTCTATTTTTTTTTACTGGGGTGGACCCCCCCCTCCCCCCTTGAAAAAAAAATCTCTGGATCTGTGCCTGCATAACTCACGCTTTTCTATAAACTCCACCCATCCAGTTCGGACAAAAAAGCATTTATAGAACTAAGCCACATTTTTAAAATCAAACAATCATCTTGACTAGGTATACCAAATTAAAGAGGGAAAAAATTATATATATTAAAAAGTATTAGATAATCATTATCAATTGAAAACTTGCATTTAAGGGTTTGACTTTCGTTAACAAATGAAAAAACAAGTGCAGACATCGCTTGATTGTTTTTTCAATATCTTTCTATTTATAACCAACTTTGGTACATAAAATCAAATAACTGAGTTTCAGATTGCATCTATTCTAAATGTACAAATCCCTTAACATTGTTTCATATTTTCAATTACGGTAAAAAAAGAAGAAGAAGAAATTAACTAGTTCTAATTGTAACGGAGACCGTTACGATATTCCCCAAAACGCCCCCTCTACTCCCTTTGGGCCCCACTCCCTATATGCTTCAATAAATTAAGCAAAACCTTTGTATTATAGACTTTAACAACTGATTTTCAAGTATTTTGAAGAAAAAACAATGCAAATATAGCACAGTGAGCATAAGCAAATCAGATTTAAGTATAAGTGCAAGCACATGATTTCGAAAAATTACCATATAAATGTACATAATCTGATAGAATATATGCCGTGATAAAATGCTTCATTGTAAATTTCAAAGAATTTCACTGAAAACAGAGAAAGTTACAGCAACATAAATATTAAGCAATCAGAAATCAACGCGCGTACATGCATGTCCTCATATTCATTTCTGGTGATTAAATTATGTAGGAACTTGTATTATTTATATATACTCTAAATTTCATCTTATCTCATTAAAAATTAAGAACGTTATAATTACTTACAACCTTAGCCAATCAGATTTCAGCACATGTGTTCTTGCGCATATTTTCTAGATTTCTCACATATATATTTGTATAGTGCCTTATAACTTATGCCTATGTCTTAAATTTCACAGAATTATATTGAACAGTAAGAGAGATACAACCTATAAAGTATTAGCCAATCAGATTTCAGCACACGATGCATAACTTTGCATTCAATTTTGACAGTGTCAAAATGTAGGAACCCATTATACCTATCTATATTCTAAATTTGATTCTGTTTTGTTGAAAACTAAAGAAGTTATAGTCATTTAGAGTTTCAGCCAATCAAATTGCAGAACGCGTGCATGCTCGTGTTTTCAAGAATTTCTGTATATAACATTTTGTAGAACCTTACAATATATATCTAGATCTTAAATTTAAAAGGATTTTGTTAAAAAACAAGGAAAATACTGAGATTTCTGTTTCAGCCTATCAGAGGGAAGCGCATGTGCATGCGCTTGAATTCATGCTAATTTGACCACGTCATCTTGTTTACACTACAGATATATCTTTATGTTTTGAGTTTCAAAGCATTTCATCAAAAAATGTAAAAGTTATCTATAGCTATATCAAGTAGATAGTAATTTCGCTCATTGCATGCGCAGGCACGTGCATGCAAGTGCGCGCAAAATGACCTTCGTTTCGCAAATCTACACAACATGCTTGTTAACCCTCAATACGAGAACACTCACGGACGAAAAAGTGGAAATAAGTCTACCTAAATAAATTATCCAAATTGGTTTTGGAGAAGGAATTCTGAAAAAAGAAAGTAAAAACAATATGTTCCTGAACTTCGTTTTGGGAACATAATTAAGTCCATAAAAGATTTGGATATTTAATTTTGAAAAAATAAATCAAACACAGATTTTTGAAAAACTGAGAATAATCGATTCAATTATGATCAATATGATACATATAACATTATAAAAAGTGCTGCATGGATAAAAAACTAAGCTTGCTAAATATTTAATTAGATTTTTCTCTCATGTTTTATATATATATCTTTTAAACATAGATACATAAAATCAACGACAAAATGTTGGACTAAATATGTTTCTGGTGCGCATGCTTCTCGGCAATATTTATGTGGCCAGTAACGCCCACAAGTATAAACTCCCTCCGTGTATGACATGTTTGACGGACAGCTGTAAATACAAAACCCAGGGACATTTAGATTCAGTCGTCGCAGACATTCACAATAAGATTTTCCGGGAATTCATCGTATATAATTCAAATCAGTGTTACCCAGAATACATCATCACATACGACAGGATAACTTAAAAGTTTGTAAAATGGCTGAAGCCAATTCATTTATAAGAAAACTCTATTAATTTTTATATCTATGTAAATAAACTTGTTCTTTGTTTACCTTGCGTACCTTGTGGTGTCACTTTTTCGTTTGATCCTATATACTAGGAACGTGACACACTTCCGATCCTTTTCTGGTTACTCTGAATATAGTGCAGGGAGAGAATACTCAAAATGTCATAGAAACGGTAAATTGTGAGTCGGTTTTTTTTTTTTTTTTTTTTTGCTCATGAGTTTTTAAATCTATTTGCATTGACTTAAGGCCTAAATTCTATGGGAGACAATTTTTTTCTGTTCCCCCTGAAAGGACTGCTTGAAGATGAGATTTAGTGTCTTGTCCTCCATAAAAGTACACAGGAAATTAAGAAAAACTTGCCAGAATAACCATTCATCATTTACTTCTATAATTTTTTTCATGGACGGAATTGAATCTTCAGGAATCACTCCCTACTCTGTTGTAAGAAATACAGTGCAGAAACCTAGAAAAATGAATGGCTAAAACACGACTTTTTTGCACCACTGGTCAAATCTTGAGTCCGACCAGGCCCCAAGACCATAAACTGAGAACAGACTTAAGTCAAAATTTCAAATCCAAATAACTTTGGAAATAATTTTGATAACAGAACAAAATTTACATCATATGTTTATACTGGAATATTTATAAACCTGCAAAATTTTAAGTATGTATGTTAAATAAAAATCAAGATATTCAAAATCAAAATTTTGACATAATTCTGTTCTCATTTTATGGTCTCAAGGCCAGGTATATTATTAGGTTAGAAAAAAAAATTATTTGAATATTCGTAAAATGAGATGAATCATGAAGTAAGTATTAATAACTTAACAAGTTAATCAAAATTGTTTATTCTACAAAATTTTAAGAAACCAATTTGGATAATTTATTTAGGTAGATTTATTTCCAAAAGAGTTACTTATCAATTAAAGGTGTGTTATAGTTGATATAGAGGGGATGTGAACGCAGGGTTTGGTTTTCCGTTTATACAGTTTTTCCACAGACAGCAATATTCCACAACTGAAGGCAACAACAATGGCGGACAGAGAGGCAATGTAGAAAACACCGGTATATCCGCCTGTGACGTCACGAATCAGTCCTAAAATGAAATTAATTAACAGGATTTGCATTTTGAAATCTCGTCGATATTATGAATAACGCTCTCTGACATTCAGTAAAAAGAACACCATTCTAAACACAGCTTAAGTTTAAAAATGACATGCATGGATTCATCTATGTTTCTCGAAACTTGATTTATACATGGCTGTGCACACTGTATGTTGTTTTTAGTAATGGAAATTTCTCGACCCCGGTACGCGTCCAATCTAAGCAGTTTTACATAAGAAGTGACAGTCACAGGTCTTTCAGATGAGGCCTTAAAACCTGAAGTCCTATGTAGGCGTTGGCACGATAAAGAACCCTTACAGTTTTGACCGTCAGCGCCATACAAAATGTATAGATAACGTTTTTGGCACTTCATCTAAAATTACATTGAAATATTTTCGAATGGGAAGTAAAATAACATACTATCAGTATAATATATGTGGAATTAATTTTGCTCTTTAAACAAAGAATCATAGTGCAAAATAGAAAATAAGTTACAAAAATACAAATATAATTTGAACTTCCCAAAATCTAAACCGTTTCATAAAAGCGAAACGAACTGGAAACCTTGCTATTGCACGCAATAGCGTATGTCAACCCGAAATGACCTTTATCCGTTTCTCTGGCAACGGTGGAAAGTCCGAATCTTGCATGTACATCTACACTGGGTGTTTCATTAACATTGACAAATCATCTGCGAGAACGCTTGCAGTCAAATAAGGGGAACCAATGTGTCTCCCTAAATGTGTACTTCCTGCGGTGTGACATAATGAAATCAGTGCTGAATTAAGTGTAATCTGTCATCGGTTTGGTATTAATCATTGATATGTAAAACAAATCTAGTAATCATGTCAAATTCACAAATATAGGAATGTGCTTTTATTTACCACCGACATATCCGCCGAGAACAGTACAACCTCCATAAATAGTTAATTCTGTAGCCAGTCCTGTTGGATACAGGTCTGATGAGAGGGACTGTAAAATCACTGGAGCACTCTGGGATACCACCATTCCAAAAGTGATTCCGTAGATCACAGATGCCAAGATCAGGGCAGGGTTAACATGGATGAAGTAGGGAAATATGGCATGGCTGAGTCCCATTAACGTGAAGATATAGATCCAGTGGTACATCAACTTTGTTCGACTAAATTATTTTGAGAGAGATCCAATATTTATATATAGTTTATACAGTTTATCTAAATAAATACATCACTTGTAGTAAAATCTAACCTGTTAAACTGTAATTGTAATTTCTATTACCTTAGAAGAGGTTCTAATACACCTGCCAAAATCCGTCCAATTAGATTGCAGGTTCCAATGACTGTCATTAAGAAAGCAGCGTCTTTTTGGTTGTAACCATTGGATACAAGGAAATCAGGTAGGAACCAGGGTTCAATGAAACCTGTTGGAAGGAATCAGGAAATGTTGAGTATTTAGTTATTTATTAATCATAAAGAAACCATCGAAGCCCTTTATACTCATGACTTCGGTTATAATGGGCACGTGTAAAAATCGGGTCGCAGTGAGTCTGGGTTCCACGAAACCTGGCTTGCTCGGACTGGGACCTTGTACCAGCCCACCAGGTACCGACTTCGCCGCCATCAAACGTATTTGGAAGAGACTTTCAAGTCGTGGGACCCGCGCCGTGACAATTAGTGCTCTAAAGAACACAAGTGTCGACTGCCATAACATCATTAAGGACATAAAGCATAAGTGTGTGCAATTGTTTTTTTGTTTTGTTTTGTTTTTTTATTTTTAAAGTGTTTCTTATTATAATTAATGCAAAGATAAATCATCCACGAATTGTAGACTGCGTAGCATTTATAATAAAAAAAAAATAGTTCAAATTAAATATGCTTTCCCAACCCTCGAAGCTAAAATTCGATATTTAAACTGAAATTATTATAAAATATGCGTTACTCGTTCATCTTCACTGCACTTTGAGTGAAAAATTCTCGAATGGGACGTTAAACAACATACAATCAATCAATTCAACCCAATTCAGTATACTGATTCCGATTTATTTTCATACAACTTACAAATGCATTTCAATTTATTGTATTTAAGAAATTGTATGAAATTTTCAAAGACTTGGGAAGATAATATCATGAAGTGATGGTATCAATTAAATAATTTTTAAATCTCAATATAGCAGCAAGTTCAGGTCAAGGTCTTTATACATTTCTTTGACATTAAGGATGAAACAAAATTATTGTTGCTAATCTTTCGATGACTTTTAATTTTTAATGTTTTTTTTTTTTTTGCGCAGAAAGATGATATCACATAAGATCTTTCAGATAAAAATACCAAATTGACATAAATAATTTAAGTAAAATAGATACTGTCTAAAAAGAATTAAGTCATTGATTATAAGTTTTATTTACTTAAGAAAATTATATAAGCATTTGTTTTTGTTAAATTTTTTGGACTGAATCCATTATTTTGATGTAGATCTTAAAAGCAGAACATGTGATCTTTTCCTACGCCACTGTTTTGCCATAAACATAGTCCTGTTAGATATTGAAACCAAATGGCCATTTCTATCTCTAGATGCACATTTGTAGAAGGAAAGAAAAATATGATCTTACAATTTTTTTGGTATCTCAAAACGTCATAGTCGTCTTGTGGTAGGGCGTTCGCTGCATGATAGGGAGACCCAGATTCGATTCTCGTTCGCCAGACCGCGTCAAACCTAAGACCTAAACATAGGTAGTGACTATTCCTTCGCCAAGTGCCTGGCACTAAAAGTGAAAATCAGGGGTCTTTCGGGTGAGAACTTTAAAACCGAGGTCCAGTGTCACGGTAGGCGTTAGCACGATAAGGAAACCTCACTGCCCAATGGCCTTGAGTGCCCAGTATATGTATAAATTTGAAGTCCTTCACTGGTATATTGTGACGTTTCTAATTGAGACGCCACTATGCACCTGTCGGTGGAGGGCTGCAAATTTTGACCTTACTCGGCACTTGTGGCCTTTGAGCAGTAAGGGATCTTTTTCGTTCCAACACCTACTGTGACACGGGACCTTTTTTTATGCGGTCTCATTTGAAGGACCGATTTCCATGTCGCATAGTGGATTCGAACACACGACGTAAGGATCTACTCCTTACACGCGACCTAGAGCAAACTCTCAAACCACTGTGCCACGTGGGCGACTCTGGAAAAGTAGTCAAAGTCAAGTCAGGGATTGTGACGATAGTATTTTTCACAAATGTTTTACGACAATCAGTGCACACGCTAAAAAGCACAAACGTACTCCTTGAAAGGTCAAAGAGTATGTCTATATTGGCGCTGGTTTATTTTGAAAAATATGTCAAAGGTCAAGTTCAAAGGTCAGAAGGTTGGTAAATTTGGTAATTTAGAAAACCCATTTTTTCCAATCAATAAATGGAAAAGATATCAAATTAATTCCTTTCTCTAACCTTCTCAAGATATAGGATGTGATCGATAGAGAGGGACGGACGGACAGACAGACAAAATGATCCCCAAGTGTCGCTCTGTAGGCGACACAAAAATAATACAGTAATGTTGTTTTCAAAATGTTAAAAAAGGAAATGAATATAAAATTTACATCAACGCACAAACATACTATCATGGATGTACAAAATAACAGCTCTTACCAAATAACCCAAATAACACCATACTGAACAGCATCAGTGAATATGCTCTGCTTTTAAAAATGGCTTTTTGGTCTTCCCAATTAAAAACCTTGGAATTCTCTGGACTATCCGGAAGATTAAGTTGTACCAGGACACCGATCACCAATAGGTTTAGGAATAGTCCTCCAGAAATAAGACAGGTTCCTCGCCATTCATATTCTCTGAGGAGAAACTCTGTTATGTAAGGAGTAATGATGAGTCCTATACCTCCGCCTATTGCTGTTAATGTGAGGAATTGGGTTGCAGCTTTTCCAGAGAAAGCTCTTCCGATATTGCTGTAGGCTAGCAATAGTGGGAACATAAAACCGCAGCCTAGATTATTTTAAATATACTCTTCTTTAATTAGATTAAATGTAATTAAAATGAACAGGAATAAATATATACCTCTACTTTTAATTAATACATGTACAGTGTATAATGATATTTATTCAATTTGCCGAATCTTTAATATATATATACAATTAAATACTGTTTGTTAAGAGTTAAGAAATCGAAGGGGAACAAATAAATATTCGGATCAACAAACCTGCCCCAACACCCACAAGCAGGACAACCGTAGTTACATTCTGCGCAAAAACTGCTACAATGAAACTGACACTTCCTATGAAAGACCCGACCATCATACAGGGAAACTCGCCTACATAGCGCATTATCAAGTTTCCTACCATACCTGTCAGAGAAAAAAAAACACGGAATTTACACAGAAAAAAAATAACTTAAGGTATATCCAATCTCACAATTTTAATTGATCAAGGTAGAAAACTGCATTTATTTTCACTGAATATAGTACTAACTGTTTCATATTTGGAAATCACTAACTATAGATGTTGATGACCAAGTAACATCTGAAACTATATGATTGACTGAAGACCTTTTTTCAAGCATTTTGCTATTTTTATAATCCAAAAGATGAGTCTGTATGTGTAGCAGTAAATATCTGTGAGTGAAAGTGGTTAAAGCTCCTTTTTTTTATTGTTAAATCATGTTATGATACTGGGCTATGTAAATAAAAAAAAACCCACAAACAAACAACAAACTTACATCCTCCAAAAGAGAGTCCCCGGTATAACGATAACATCAGAGCTGTTTCCGAAGCTTCTGCTCGGAACTCTCTCATGATGTCAACGTACATGATTCCCAACATGGACGAGGGCATTCCGATAACAAAAAACTGCAGGAACAACGAACAGACAAAGACCACATAACGTCTGTATGATTTATCATAGCCATCCCTGTCCAAAAAAAAAAGTTTAAATTCAATCATAAGATATTTGGATTTTTAGATAACGACAACTTAAAATTAAAATCAGGTTGTGTACATATTTTTTAATTAAAATATAATTTTTGATACCATGGTATTGAGTTAGCATGCGGATTTTCTTTTTTCCTAAAATTGGAATTAAACAACAACAGTACAAAAACAAAACAACAAAAATAAAACAAAAACAACAAACAAATTACAAGCAGACACTCCTCCAACAGATGTTACGTCATTCACGGTCGCTCAAGGTTAAGATTCGTGATATTTTTGTAGTTCACGTTCATAAAGCCTAACATCTCTATGTACAAGAGGACATTTTTTTTGGAATTTTGGACTGAAATCAATTCATTAATCATTGCATTCATTAAAACATGATTTCTTTACGTTACCTCACATCCTTAAAATATCAGGCGATATTGTATCAGAAGATATAATTTCAATATTTAAAAAAAATCGACTTAAGCTTAAGAGGTATTGGTAAGAGGTTCCTGTAAGTGACATACATATGTTGGAGAGCTAACTTCACTGACTTTATATTACATGGCCCTCAGATCTAAACAAGGTACTAGAGAATCGAAGTGACAAAATCCACCATACACAAAGATTCCGTAAAAATGATATAGTACTGACAATCCCGTAAAGTGTATCGTGACATTATTCTGCGAGATGTATAGGCAACATGTACTTTAACGTTATTTTGTGAAGGCAAAATATTCTGCAGATTTCATACAACTATAATAGTATGCATGCTTAATTTAATAAATTACGTAATTGTCATGGCGTATACTGAAATCTGCGAGTATATTTGTGAGTCAGTTAAGTACTAAATGGCCTTACACAAATAGATTTTTTTCCCTCATTAAGCATGAACCCTAGGACTGTTGCTATCACTGTGTTGTAGTTTTTTTAATGTTATGAAGACTATTCAGAGACCTTAAGGTCATACGATACTAAACAAATGGTATAAAAAGTTGTAAAACAGTTTGAACCGCCTTTATTATCTAAACACAAATCTATCACGAAGTCTTCCTTTTAAGTCATCGTTCTTGTATTTTCCTCCAAATTAATACATCCATATCTATATCAACATTCGAAGCAAAATCAGGAAAGGAAAAAAATCACCACCGCCAATTCCCACCCCTTCTCTCCAAAAGATGGCCAAATAGATTTTCATTCAGGTATTAATGAATGATTTACATTGCTCTATGTCATCGTAAAATTGGAAATCAAGTGTATTCACAAAAATAAAATAAATAAATAAATATATATATATATATATATATATATATATATATATATATATATATATATATATATAATATATATATATATATATATATATATATATATATATATATATATATATATATATATATATATATATATATATATATATATATATATATATATATATATGGAGGGCTTTAAAGAAAGAATTTGTGATAAATATATAATTAAGAAATAATATAATAAAGTAACTTACAAAAACAGAATGTTTAACAATTTTCTATAACATTTTATTTGTAATCTTTGTCCATAATGTAATAAGGTACTCACCTCAATTTCTTTGATTTACATGTCAGCGATTTTTTAGTAGTCATATCTTGCAAATAAAATTCCAATAATATTGAACATGAAATAAGTCCTAGACTCAGTTTTCTTTAACACGGTCCTTATAGGATGTTTTGATCGTTTCTTCGCTAAATCTATTTCGTAGTTTTTTGGGAAATTCTGTGTCTGTTTTTCCAAAGGCAATAGTCCAGTTTTAAGTAATAACAGGTCAAGAAGTTGAGAAAAAATAAACCCTTTAGTCCAAAATTGAATATGTCGCTTCATAACTTCATATGTCACTTTTTCATTATGGGTTTAATTTGTTAGCTAAAGTTCCAAATAATTCATACTAATAAAATGAGACATGTACATCCGTTTACTTTTGTGTTTGTTTTCACAAAAAAACGTCTATTGACTCTAACATAAAACAAAATTAATTTACTTTGATGAAAGCAGATCAAATGTACTTCAACATTAATTTTTATTTATATTTTTTTTCTGCATTATTTTATTTAATCTTATCTTGTTTTAGAGTTAATCGAGCTGGTTGATTAATATGCAAATAATAATATCTAGGCTGTCGAGTACAACACTTTCAGGAAATTGTTTTTGAACTTGATTTGAACTTGACATGACAGCCAATTATCACGGTCAGGAAAGACAATCCATATTTTCGTATAATACACAATGACTACACAAACTGACAATTAAGAAAAGGCATAAACATGAAGCAGAACTGCACTTTATAAGTAACATACATAGATAAGGGGAAGAGTGTCCGAAGTTCCAAAATCCACATCCTGAAAAATTTCTTGAGGAATTTAACTTATAACTGTAACTGATAATGCTGTAACTTATAACTGTAACTGATAATGCTGTAACTTATAACTGTAATTGATAATGCTGTAGTATGTTATGAAAACACCACGGTATAGTTTGTTTGTTTGTTTGTTTGTATGTTGTTTAACGTCCCTCTCGAGAATTTTTCACTCATGTGGAGACGCCACCACTTGCCGGTGGAGAGCTGCAAATTTTGTCCTATACTTGGCACTTACTGCGACACGGGGCCTCGGTTTATACGGTCTCATCCGAAGGACCGGTCTCCACGTCCCATAGTGGGATTCGAACCCGCGACGTAAGGATCAACTCCTTACGTCGCGACTCTGGAGCAGACGCTCTAACCACTGCGTCACCCGGTCGACTACCACGTTATAGTGTGAGACTTCTATAAAATAAAATTAATGTTGTTTTGTGCTGGCAAAATCTTCTTCAAAATCCATTTTTGTGACTATAACATTTTCTCTCCTTTTTTCGGTTATACTCCTAAACCATCGCTATATGACCTTGAAATTTGAGATTGACCTTGAATCCATGAATGGCACACCTTCAACATCAATAACATATTCCAGTTTAATATCATTTCAATTAAGGGTTACGAAGTTATTGTCATTCCTTTGTTAGACCCACTTGTCTAACGAAATATTCCCTAGAAAAGTACAGATTCATGTTAAAATAATTTCGGACTTGTTATTGCTTGACTAAATACTTATAAAACGCGCTCTACTGTGACACTTCATCTGTGAAATGTAGGTTACATGCAACATTTGCATGAATTGTTGTATAGCTCTCTCTTTACATCATTAGTGTAAGTTTGGTAATTGTTGAGCTCTAATCACTTAAAACTGAACCTTTTTTCAGAAAATTTTACCTGATCGCTTTAAGGGAAAATATAGATCACTTGCAAAACATGATGCATTATTTTTTATTCATTTATTTATGTTTTTTTTTTTTTGATATGGATCTCCAAATGCATTTAATGCAGTTTTGGTCGATGTAGAACTTACATGTATAAAACAATTTCAGAATTCAAATATTTCAGAGACAAATTCTAATTCTATGATCGTTATAGCCTTGTTTGCAAATACTGCCTAACGAAAGAGAAGAGCATCTGGAAACCATAAAAAAAAAGGAAGGTCATGGACCTGAATGGTAATATGAGTGTGCTGTGTTTCTCAGGCAATGACCACACTGGACCTACCCAAAAATGGGAACTCTAGACTCATGTAATAAAAATTTGTGAGAAACTCTACAATCTTTATCATTGTAGCGTGTAAGAATTGTTTCTTATAGATTTCATGAGCAAAGAAGTTACACTGCATGGTATCTTGCAATACAATCCTCACCTCAGAGTCGCACCCTTGCAGCCAGAGGACATGAATATAATTTTTTTTTTGTAGAGAGCTATGTTGCAACCACTATTGAAATAACGACCACTATTGAAATAGTTATTTCAATAGTGGTTGAGAGTGCATTTCAAAACCAAACATAGGTTGAAACCACTATTGAAATAATATTCACTATTGAAATTATTATTTCAATAGTGGTTGAGAGTGCATTTCAAAACCAAACATAGGTTGCGACCACTATTGAAATAATGTTCACTATTGAAATAATTATTTCAATAGTGGTTGAGAGTGCATTTCAAAGCCAAACATAGGTTGCAACCATTATTGAAATAATGTTCACTATTGAAGTAAATTTTAGTAGTGGTTAAAAGTCATTTCAAAACCAAACACAGAATGCAACCACTATTGAAATAATGTTCACTTTTGAAATAAATTTCAATAGTGGTTAAAATACTGATTTCATTAGTGATTGAAATAATGATTTCAATAGTGCTTTAAACAATGATTCCAACAATTATTAAAAATAACTATTTTAATAGTTGCTGACAATGATTTCAATACCAAAACCACATCGCAAGCTTTATAGAAGTATCCAAACTATTAAAAAATATAAGGATGAATTGCTCATTCTGGCTTCTTACACAATAAACTAATTTATTGAGTTTAAAATATGATAACTAAAGTTATTTTATGTTTTCCTTTGTTGTAGAAATTTCAATTTATACACGGACATATTTATTAATCGAACCTACTCATAATTCCAAGAAGGTATGCAAATATTATAAACAAGCTCCCGCTGAATCTAGCCGACTCCACCAACAGACAATCAATCAATTTATGCAATTTTTTAAAAAAAAATTGTTATGTAAAGTTTATTTTTGTCATTGATTTTGAAAGGAAAGGATCATATATACATCTAGATGTAGAAAGAATATCAACATTGAAAAGAAGAAAGAAGACTGATAATTTTGTGTACAAACTTTCTGATGAAAATACGGTTATTTTTAATAAAAAGAATATAGAATAGAACTAAATTGTCGCTCATATTCATGGGATTACCTACACTACAAATATGGATAGCAAAGCCAACGTCTACTCGTCAAGACATTAAAAAACAAAACTTGAAGGGAAGTTTATGTAAGCATTACAGGTATTACAATAGTGGGTGTTATTTCAATGGTGGTCACACATATATAACCAAAATTGAAAAAATGTCCGATATTGAAAGAATTATTTCATTAGTG